TTTTTTTTTTTTAGAAAAAGTCTGTGGTCTTTCAGAACCCAATAAAGCCGTCACAACCCACAGCACAGCCAAAGACCATTGGCACGGACTTTAAATGGTCTCCGATAGTTAGAACTGCAAGATTTTTGAATTGTTTTGTTTGTTTCCGCTACAGCCTTCAGCCATGACTCTGTAATACCTTGGTGTGTTGACCTACATCATGCCCTCTGCTCTTCATCGCCCCTGATTTCTGCTCCACAGTGGCCTTGGAAAAGATGATCAGGTTTGTCAAATCGCACATAGACTAAGAGTTAATAGGCTCGATTCTCCTGTGAATAAAGTGTGAGGCTGTGCATTGCCTTGGCAAAAATTGCTTTGTCGCGACCATGTACCCAACCGTCGAGGTCTGACAGCCGGAAGGTGCTGGGTTGCTTCCTGTCCCTCCTCTGCAGGCCAGGCCCCCCCAGATCTATGCTCACCGCCAGCTCCCCACCCTGCCCTCCTCCCACCCACCATCCTCATTCTGCTCTGACCCAATTTTACCCAACATCAGAAAGAACGGGGGCAAAGGACCTCTGCACTGTTTCTCCTGGCCTTTTTTTTTTTAATCCTCACCCGAGGACATTTTTCCATTTTTTGTTCAGATAGAGTGGGAGGGAGAGAGAGGAAAAGAGAGAGAGAGAAACATCAACGTGAAAGGGACACACCGAGTGACTGCCACCCCAACCAGGGCCGGGGACAAACTGCAACCGAGGTACGCGCCCCTAGCGGGAACCAAACCCGGGTCTCTCCAGACCGCAGGCCGATGCTCTAACCGCTGAGCCAAACCGGCCAGGGCTCTCCTGGCCTTTTTACAGCTCAGCCCCGTTCAACACAAACTACCAGGCTAGCGAGACGGTTGGTTGTTTCTTTTGGAAACCATCTTTGTATTTTGTTTTCCTGTTGCAGACCTGCGTTGCTAAGAGATCTTTACCTTGGCAAGACCCACTGTGTTTTTGCTGGAAAACCCTGGCCTTGTCTCCCTGACCACAATGATCAAAACCTCCCAGCCTCCTTAGAGGTTCCTTTACCGCCGCCACGGAAGGAAACCACTCCGCTGTTACGCATTCTCGCAAATTCCATGATGGCCCACGATTCCTTCGGAAAGAACAGTGAAGGGACCATTCAAAGTTTTGGCTCCGTAATCTTGACGCAAAAAAAGAGAAATGCCTCTTTGCTGGTCAGAACACACACATGGCAGTTTTGTTGCCTTTAAGAAGCTTAGTAATAGGAATGAGTCCAGAGGAAAACAATGAATGAAGGCCAGAACATCAGAAACAGCATCACATAGCGACGTTTAGTGACCTGCATCCAACCTGAAGAGGACTTCGCATGGGGAAGTTAAGGCATGTTAAGGATGGATTAGATTTTATCCATGGGGTCCCCCATGGGGAGATGGCCTAAAATGTGTACAGTTCACAGGGCAAAGATCAAAACGTGGAAAAAAAAAATACAACCCACAAATCTCCCTAATCATGCCCAATAGACTGGCTTGCTCTGAAACAGAACGTCAATCACCGAGAGACCAAACCCGACGTCCGGTGGGTTATGAGAAGAGTTCATGAACTGAGACTCTTCAGCCCTTTTATTGGGAGATGCTCTGAGCCCATGGAGATCTCAGTCTTTGGGAATGAAGTGCTACGTGTGACCTGCAGACTGTCTTGTCAGGAGACTCTCACTAGGATTCCCACGTCCCTTGCAGCCAAAATTGTTTGGGTGATCCGAGGGTTCTGCAAAGCACTTGACCCTGGATGATGAAAGATGCTACATAAATAAAAGGGTAATTGTGGTCATAATAAACAGCGGTAATGATGACAGATGTCTGTGTCACAAAGAAGAAGCTGGACCACTATTAGGTTGTCCTAAGCAACCAGCTGTGAGCTCACAATAATGCATGTCCAAGCCGGGGGGAGCTCAGTGGCTGAGACCACATTAACCTTTCAACCAAGCACCTGGAGGAGCCCTGGCCTGGAGGTGTGAGCATCTGTAAAGGGAGGGGGCCCCGTGTGTATCCCTAGCTTGAAGGCTGTCTGGGCTTATTATTCCACAGACAGGTCGACAGGGAGCATGTCATCTTCCTCTCTCAACAGGAGAGAAAACTGTAGGTCAGGGAAAGCTCCAGAATTCCAAATGAGAGCTCCGTCTCGAACCCCGGCTGTCTTTCCATGCTCTGCCGGCCCCCAGACAATTTCAGGGAAGGAAAAACTTGAGAAAAGAGCCAACTCGGATGAGAAAATGTTGAAACGAATCATGTCTCCCAAGATGCCTTACTTAGCTGTTTTCCATCCACTCAGGCTGAGAAGGCTTGACAGGGAAATTCTTGGCCCCTGGAGCAGGGAGGAGCCATTCAGTGATGGTCCCAGGGCAGCTCTTGGGAGCTAAAGGGGCAGAGAGAGGGCTGAGTTCTGTTGGACCAGCAGAGACCACTGTGTGGGGCTCTGTCCAGCTTCAGATCTCAGAAGCCTGGTTGCTGGCAGAGGCCTGGACCATGTTCCCTTCCGTTCACAGGGGCTCCAAGACCAGTCACCACAGGCAAAGGGGAAGGACCCCCCTCTCCGTCCACAAAAATACGGCACTAAAACAAGCCGAGTGTGGGAGCTACAAAACCAGGAACCTTGTTAGGAATACATAAGTATCTTACTTCTCTTCTCTTTTTCTTTTTGAAGTTATTGAAATCATTATTCACTTTACATTCTATGCTTGCATTGTGGGTTCGACATATCCTGCCACTTGGAGTTGATTCCAATTCTCATTTTATATATGAGCATCTTTCTATGTTTAACCTTTTCAATGTATCAGTATTCTTTTTGTGTGCTTTTTTATTATTTAATTAATTAATTTTTGTTACAGATGTTTCTCCTTTTCCCCCCACTGATACCCCTCTCCCCCACCCTCCCCACCCTATCCTCAGCTTTGTTGTCCATGTCCATTGTTCATGCATACATGCATATAAGTTCTGTGGTTTATCTCCCCCCCACCCCTTTCTGGGGATTGTCAGTCTGTACCCCACTTCCATGTCTCTGGGACTACCCCATTCCTCAGACTGTTACGTTCACTATATTCCACAAATAAGTTAGATCATGTGATATTTGTCTTTCTCTGCTTGGCTTGTTTCGCTTCGGATAATACTCTCCAGGTCCCTCCAGGTCATCTCAAAGGATAAGAGATCTTTCTTTCTTATAGCTACATAGTACTCCATTGTGTATATGTACCACTGCTTTTTTATCCATTTGTCTATTGATGGAAATTTGGGCTTTTTCCAGATCTTAGCTATTGTAAATAGTGCTGCTACAAACATGGGGGTACATATATTCTTTCTGATGGGTGTTTCAGGTTTCTTAGGGTATATTCCTAGAAGTGGGATCACTGGGTCAAATGGAAGTTCAATTTTTAATTTTTTGAGGTAACATCATATTGTTTTCCATAGTGGCTGCACCAGTCTGCATTCCCACCAGCAGTGCACTAGAGTCCCCTTTTCTCCACACCCTCGCCAGCACTTGTTGTTTGATGATTTGTTGATGGCGGCCATTCTGACAGGTGTGAGGTGATACCTCGTTGTTGTTTTAATTTGCATCTCTCTGATGATTAGTGATGTTGGGCATTTCTTCATATGTCTCTTACCATTTGTATGTCCTGTTTGGAGAGGTGTCTATTTAGTTCCTATTTTTTAAGGTAGTCTAACCTCTGCTGTTTAACATGTATTTCATTTTTTTCTTTAAAAATTACTTTTATCTTTATTGAAATAATCTCTTAATTATTTGAAGTCATTTTAATCTTATCTTTTTGAAATGTAGTTGTGTGTGTGTGTGTGTGTGTGTGTGTGTGTGCGCGCGCACCTGTACAGGGGCAGACAACAGGTTTATAGTTGTGAGCATGGGAAACAGTTTATTCTTGTATTATTATTATTTATTATTATATTATTTGCATTCCAACTCTAAAGCTACTCTTTCTCTACCTCTGTATTTCTTTATGTCTTATCTCTTCTGACTAACCTTTTCAAAATAGTTCAATTTTCTCCATTTTCTAAACTTGTGTTTTAGCTTCTTTACTACGGGTTTTATAAATTATAGGTTCTTTTTCATTTTTTAACCTTTAAAATTATTTTTTTTTCCATTTTTATCTTGTGTTTTGTTTTTTCCATTGGACACCAATGTCCATTCCTAGAGTGGAAAAAAAATCATCTATTTACTCTAGGAAGGAGCTTTCGTCTCTTTCCCCAAAGTCTGAGACAGGTATGTGTGAAGGTTAATTCTGCTGCCCCCACCTGTGGGCTGTATGACCTTGGGGACCTGCCCTGACATCTGGACCTCAGCTCCCACACGTTGAAAATGCTGACCCTTCCCCCAGACCTCGTTGGACCCTGGGATTCGCCGTCCCCACCACCCATGCCCAGCAGGTGGGGCTGGTGAGGAGACGTACTATCCTGACCTTCTCCCGTCCAGCCAACCACTCTCCAGTTATTTCACTTCCAACCATACCAGAGCCATTTTCAACCTCTTCGGCCATTCCGTTTAGATAAGGTGACACCCTTTTTATCGCCGTATCCAAAACCCCATAAAATGCAACTGAGAATAAAGATTTCTCCGCAGTCAGCGGTAAGAGGTAAACGAAAGACCCGGTCTTGGCGGTGAGGACATGACAGCTTGAGTCCTGACGTTGACACTCACTCACCATATAACCTGGGCAAGTCACTTAATTACCCTGGACCAATTTTCCCCTTTTGAATAGGAGAGTGTTGAACTAGATTATTTCTAAGGACCCCTCCGGTATTAACTGCCTATGAATCGACACCTTTCTATTTAAAAACCTAAGAGACCGCAATGTACCTACGGCACCTTGTTTTTTGTACCAGTTAACAAAAGCCCAAGAGAATTTATTTGTGCCCTCTGGCCTCTCCAGTCACACCCCCCCACTGGGTGACACAACCCTGCGTTGCCATGGTAACGTCAATGCCAGTGAGTTTGGGCCAGCGCCCGACATACTTGCCATTGATGACACCATCTGGATTGAGCATGGGGATGATCTTGAAGATGAAGTTTTCCCTCAGGAGCCTGGCCACAGGGTCACTGCTGACCAGGAACTCCAGTGCCCCTTTCACCACCCAGCTCGAATTGCTTTCTCCTGGGTGAACTCGGGCAGTGATCACCTGGTATGGACGCCGCCCTGCGGGAAGAAAGACAAAGAGAAATTAAACCTAAATATACTTTCCATTTCCTTCACACAGTGCCCAAGCAGGTCCCCAGGAATATACTGGACTGTCATGAAGTCTGAAACAGGTCCATTGTTTCAGACACACGCCTGATCGGCACTTATCCATTTTCCACCTGCTTCTATGGTCTGCAGGACTCGAGAGAGTATGAAGTCAACGCTAAGGCTGTTATGAAAAACATAAAATACTTAGAGGCACAAAAAGAAGGATTCTCCAGAGGCTAATAGCAAGATGCTGTCACCGATACGAGATCGATTCCTATCTTCATCACTGACAGTTGTGACATGTGGACAAATGACTTGATGTGTCTGAGGCTATTTTATCATCTGTAAAACGGGGACAATCCTATGGACCTCACGTGGTTATTATACAAACAAGGATGTAACTAGGAAGCACTGGACATACTGCTTGTGGTTGGGTACATGTTGATTTCCTTTTTTGTCAATCACAAAGTCTAGGGGTCAGATGGTCCCTCTCATTTTTCAGTAGAAATGAGTCAGGTACATGTACACTGGGAATGTATGACTGTAGGACCCTGAACCCAATCCTGGAGAGACATCTGATAAAAGAGGGAAGCATCTGGAATCTCAACCTTAGGGTCGTCATACTTTCTGCAACTTGCAAAGGGACTCAGGAAAACTGTGCCTAGTCACAGGGAGTATTAACCTGAATGGACTATACAGAGAACGCACTGGTCAGAGAAAAACAGTCTTTCTTCCTGTGTGACAGAAGACAGCTACAGCATCTCAGTCTTGAGACATACGCTGAGACCGCCCCTGGGTGGAAAACATGTTTTGATTGATGTCTGATTTCTGTCACCATACACTGGGGGCAGTGGGGGAGCGGCAGGGAGCTACAGCATTACATCAGCCATTCCCCGTGTCTGCTCCAACCCACTGTCCGATTTTGTGTGTGCGGTGTTTGTGTTCTGACTCGTTTTCTTTTGTATTCTCACCCAATTCCTTATCCCTCCTACGCCCACGCCGAAGACAAGAACTAAGAGTCTGCTGTGCAAATACCCCAGCTACTGAACCAGCCCCAAAGTTAAACCAGTTAAACTAGTCTTTTCTTTTCATGTCATTTGAATCATGATGAATCAAACGTGGCTTTTCCCCTTGGACAGTAGCCTTTTGTGGAAACAAACTGTGTCTCTAGTTCTGTTTGAAGAAGATGGAACTGAGTAACTCCCAATAAAAGATCTAAAGAACAAGTAATCAAAGATACAAAGAAATAAACTTTTAAATTTTTTCTTTAGTGATTTTGGAGAGAGAAGAAGGGAGACGGAGAGAGAGAGAGAGAAATATCAATGAGAGAACATCGACTGGCCGCCTCCTGCACACCCCCCACTGGGGATCGGACCCACAACCTGGGCATGTGCCCTGACCGGGAATAGAACTGGCGACCTCTTGGTGCAGGGTCGACGCTCAACCACTGAGCCACACCGGCTGGGCAAGAAATAAACTTCTCAATCATATTATTAGATGACATTACTATTATCAATTGAGACAACCACCTGTCAACAACCACTGAGATCTGAGTTTAAGGGGCATTTGTACAGATCAGCGCACTTTTACCAGCTATGCTAAGAGCAAGTCACTTGAGCTCCTTGTGGGTTATTTATGTACCAGGGATACAATTTGGTTGTGTTTTTCCTTAAGCAGGTATTTTGGGCACATTCCAGAAACAGCAGGAAGTGCTGAGTGGATACAGTTGAATAGAAATTGTAGTTCTTGTTCTATAAGAGGCCAAAGCGGTTGTCAAGAATGACAAGCACGCACTCAAATAATGACAAGTGAGCTCGTGGAAGTGGATAGAGAGCACCAGAAATAGGTCTGAGTGGGAGCAGTAAGGATCTTGCCAGAGATACGACGCCATTCGGACCGGGTCATGCAGAATAAGGGTCATCTAACCAGAGACAGAAAGTGAGAAGGAGTCTGGTACGCCAAGAAAGAGATACGCCCGCAAAGACCACGGGGGAGTAATCACTGGTGCGTTCAAGAATAAGGAAGAGCCATGTGTGGCCGAGGCCAAGGACCGCAGAGGGTGGGACATGACTTTACAAAGGTAGGCTGCTGTCAAAGCAGTAAGATCCCTCCTTCGACATATTTTTAGGGACTTGGACTTTATTCCATAGATGAGGAGCTTTTCAACCAAGGAGTCAGCATCTCACTGGTCTGCTGTGATTAGTAACAAGCTCTGCTGAAGAATGATCAGCTACGAATAAAACATAAATGTCTGCTCGTCATATATATGCATACATATAGTTTATATACATACAACAGTTGCGCCCCTTATTTGCAATGCCAATTTCCACAGCTCCGATGCTAGCTGTCGACCATGGTCCAGAAACATTAAAAGGGAAGTTCCAGAAAGAAACGACTCTTCCGTTTGTAGTTGCATGCCCTTCTGAGGAGCACGATGACATCTCGGGAGGGCCATCCTTCCCTGGGCGTGCATCGTCTCTTAGTCTGGCATCTCCACCAGTAACACTGCCTGCTCACTCGTCACTTAGTAACCGTCTGGGTCGTCAGATCAATCGTATTGCAGTGTCTGTGTTCAAGTCACCCTTATTTTACTTAGTAGTGGCCCCAAAGCTCAACAGCAGTGATGCTGAATTCAGGTACATCAAAAGGAATCCGGAAAGTGCTTCCTTTAAGCAAAAAGACAAGTACAGTCCAGCTGGTGTGGCTCAGTGGTTGAGCGTCGACCCTGCACCAAGAGGTCGCCGGTTCGATTCCTGGTCAGGGCACATGCCCAGGTTGTGGGCCTGATCCCCAGCGGGGGACATGCAGGAGGCGGCCAATCGATGTTTCTCTCTCCCCTTCTTACTTCCTCTCTCTCTGAAACCAATAAAGGGAAAAAAATTCAATCTATAAGAAAAAGAGTAAAGAAAAAAAAAAAATCAATGACAGTGTTTCAGCATAAAAAACACCTGCCAAAGACTGCTTCTGAGAAATCATTCTGACATCGCCGTTTGCCATACACCTGTTTAACCAGAGACAGGGTGGTCCATTGGAGAGAAAGCAAGTCCCGAGGTAGATTTCCAGAATTGCATTCCAGCCCCTCCCACCGTCTCCTCCCTGAGATGAGCCACACACCTTTCCGAAGAAACTGAGTATTGGATTGAGCGTTCTTCACATAAGACTCCTGATTTGCTAACTGAACTTACTAAAGGAGCATGTCGGGGCGGGGTGGGGAAGAGGTACCCAGTTAGCCAGCTGAGACAGCTGAAGTTAGCTGAAGGTCAGCTTTCCCACTAAACCATTTCCTCCCAGTCCTGTTCACGCCTTCCAAGGCAAGCTGCTTGACACTCCAACAGAAACCCAGTGAGAATAAAGAGGCTTGATGAATCTGGACCCAATCAGTAGCCTATTTTCAGCTCCCTAATTCCGCACCACCCGCTGGCTGGTTTTTAAACTATGCTCATTTGCAGCACATTGAGCACCACCAGTGAACACTCCCCGCCCCACGAGGAGAAATTAAAAAAAACAAAAACAAAAATAAAATAGTTTAAGCTCTTGTAAATTTTCAACCAAACGAACCGCTCTCATGATTTGGGTCATTTGCCTCCCAGGGGATTAGTCAGCAAGCCAAATGCTGGCCTTGCAAATAGATGTCAACAGTGTCTTTGCTGCGCAGAGTGGGGTTGCTCATCGACTGTATCACAAGACACCACAAGCCCTCACAGGCTGCTCTAAGCACCCCGAAGAAGCAAATGGACATCAGCACAGATTCTCATGAAGAGATAAGCAGCATTTGAGCCATGTCTAGTCGATTTTCCTCTCTCCTTCTGTGATTTAAGATGATTTGGGGGTCGTAGGGGTGAGTTAAACTTAGGGGACCATTCGGTTGTAGCAGCAAACAGTGCCCCAGAGAACCTCTAACAGACAACAGCACAAAACCATGTGTTTCTTTTTCTTTCTTTCTTTCTTTCTTTCTTTCTTTCTTTCTTTCTTTCTTTCTTGTCACTGCAAGTTTCAGTTTTAATAAATCATCTCTGAGTAGGATCAGACACAACATGTCAGGCATCTGCGTTTTTTTTCCTCCGCAATTTACAAAATACACTCCGACGGCCACCAAAATCTCTGGAAAAGTCACGGTTTGGCAATCGTCAAAGTCTTTTTTTTTTGTTTAATGGTCAGACCCTTAAAGCTTTGTATTGAATGTATGGAAGTGAGGTCTGTACGAAGAGGTTAGGGGCAAGGGGGCGGTGTAGGATGCCCAGGAGAGGCTCGGGCTGAAGGCCAGTGAAAAACTGGCTATGAACTGAAGACCTGTGTGACAACCCGTCGATATAACCATCCATGCCTTGGCTCCTTCTTTCTTTCAACGCTATGCATTACGAAGTTCCTAGTGGCACTTGGCAAGGGTCTGAGGATTCCGAGAGAAATAACGGCTTTTGCCCTCAGGGAGCCACTAACAGTGTGATGGCAAAGATGGACACACAGATAATCGCATCCAATGTGATCAGAGGCATCTGCCTACACACTCTCAAAGCACAGCGGTGCGCGCGTGAGGACACTACCGACACCCACGCCAGTCCCTGGGACACCTTCCACATGCATCTGCGGGAAGCTGGTTGAGGACATGACACAGAATACTATGCAGTCGTTAAAAGTGGCACGCGGACCTCTTTCTGTTGGCATTCGTGACCGCTGGGACGTGAAGATGACTGAGAAACAAGACAGGCAAGAGGGGCGCACCCTAGAGGGATGTCATTTGTGTGCAGTTGGAACACTTCCTCCGAGACACCCGGACACAGAGACGCGTCTGAGCCTGGAGGTCGTCTGGGTAACATGAATGTCGTCTTTATCCTCATCTAGCACGTTTGCCGGCTCCGAACAGAGTAACCCTAAGTCAGTTTTCAGACAGGCGCGTGGTCAAGCAGTGGTAAACCACAGAAGGGAAAGAGAAGGAGAAAATGCATTTCCACGGAAGAGAAGGCTTTGCTCTG